ATCGGGAAATCTATGGCTTTTTGCATTGCAGCATTTATTGGACTCCGAGATATTGCTGCTCATCACATTGTATCGCATTCCCGGGAAGTACGCAAGTGTCCAATGAGATATTCCTATCTCTACCAAATAATTGGCACAATTGATGTCTCTTTTCTGAATTTCTTCAAACCAATATCGCAAATCTCCCACAGTGTAAGATCTAGCCGCATTGGACACCATTTTAGCAAGCCCCTCACACTTGAAATGGTGGACAACGTTCCTAAATAAATGCACAGTGCAGCAAGCGTGCTTTGCAAGTGGATACACTGTCCTTAGTCCAGCATATATGGCCGCATGTCTGTCGGAGACGAAGACAAGATCGTCTTCATCAGGGACAAACTGTAACAGTTGTTTGAAAAACCACGTCCACCCTGCGATGTTCTCACTGTCAATGACTCCGAATGCCAATGGGAATATTTGATAATTTCCATCTTGTCCACTGGCAGCAACTAAACAGCTTTTGTATTTTCCTTTAGTCTGTGTTCCATCTATCACTATTACTTTCCGCAAATACTTATACCCAGCAACTGAAGCCCCAAACGCAAAAAATAAATATTTGAAACGGATTTCCCCCTCCTCAGTATAATCCGTATGGACTGTGGACAGCGTACCTGGATTAGTTGTCCTTAACAGATGGAGATATGTCTGCAAGAACTTATAGCTTTCTTCTTCACTGCCACGAGCTTTTTTCATTGCCATCTCTTTCGCGTTCCAAGCTTTCATGTATGATATGGTAACGTTTAGTTCAGCCAATACTATCTCTGGTAGTTCACAGGCTCTAGGTCCCTTCTTTCCATGCGCATATTTTGCTTTTAGCAACTCGCCTAGAATCGATCGTGTTGCTTTCATCCCGTACTTTGACCGCACTTTCACATCACAACTATGTCTTAGACTCGCTGTTCGAATTTCCACATTCTCCGAGTTCTCGTGAAACGTTGCATATACCCTCCAATTACATTTTTTATCATGGCATACTGCAATTACACGCGTCTTGTCGGAAGCTTTTATTCGGAAATTGAATAGCCTTTTTATAGAGTACACAGTTAATGCCTTATGCAACTCGCCTTTGTTCTGGAATATCCGCCCAATATATATTGAATCCCCAGCTTTCCTAAGATTCATGTTAGCCTTGTCCTGCGCAACTCCGACTGCGTTGTCCCTGAACGGTGCGGCATCTCTACCCATCACAATATCGTCCCCCACAAGTTCAGTAAACATTGTCTCCCCCATTGTAAGTTGCGACCTTATCTGCCCCATTTCTGCACTTTCCTCTCCAACACTACATCCCATTGTCACCTCCAAATTTCCTTGTCCTTCTCCTTCCTCAAAAGCCTTAAAAGTTGAGGCATCTTCTCTTCTTACCAACGGTGTCACCGTAACGTCCACTTGCCTCATTCTGGTCTGCCCCAGTTGAATTGACATGTCTCCACTTTCCTCTCCACCTTCAACAAATGCTGTCGCATCTTCTCTTCCATCGATCTGATTTACCTCAACTTCGACTAGTATTGGCTGGTTTTGTCCCTCTGGTGGACCCAACGATTCTGTCAGTTCGAGTGACATTTCTGCACTTTGTCCCCATCCTTGTGAAGTTGTCCCCTTTTGTCCCCGCAGTTTTCTACATTCCTCTTCACATTCATCAAATGTTGTGGTATCTTCCCTTCCGTCCATCTGATTAACCTCGACATCGACTAGTATTGGCTGGGTTTGTCCTCCTTGTGCATCCACACTTTCGTCCCCCACATACATATCGTCCTCGTATATCTCGTCCTCCATACCGGAATATATATCGTCCTCCACTCTACCATTTTGTCCCCGCGGCGATCCGTCTGCAATTGTCAATGCTTTCTTCCTCGAATCCTTCCAAGGATCCCAATCCGGCGGGTACTCCCTATCGATCAACTCCCTCATATTATCAAAGTCATAGTCGCCTGAATCTTCTCCCTCACTTAACATGTTGTCTTCCGACTCGGATGCCCATCCTCCACTATCCGTGCCCAATGCTACCACCAGTTCCTCTTCTCGTCCCCGCTTAGCTTTTCCCTTTTGCAGCACAGCTTCCTTCCTTTTATAAGATTCTTCAAACGCATATATTTCCTCTAAAAAGTCCTCTTCCTCAAAAGTTACAGGAATTATCTGCGTGCTTTCACTCTCACCTCTGTGCTGTCCCGCCATTTCTTGTCCCCGACAATCGTCTTGTCCCCCGAGATTTGACACATCTTCATCGTCTTCTTCTAAACATAGATACATGTTCATACCTCCCTTTTCTATTCTTACCTTTTTGAATTTCGACAATGAACTCTCGCTGTCAACAGAGACTGGCGGCATCTTTTGCTGCGTGTAGACAGTGTCTCCTCCTTCGAACCAAAAACTCAGCTCCATTTTTGTCCTTCTTCTGTCTACTCCAAACGCTGCGGCAATTTTCTGCTCAACATCAGCAATCGTATCTCCTGCGCTTACGTCTACACACTTTGCATATTTCTTTGCCGACATCTTGAATCGCCACTCTCCACTTTCTTTGCATTCCCAGCAACCGACCAATATCATTACTCCTTCGTCCATCCGTACCTGTCGTCCTCCAATAAATACCACCTTCTTAGAATGTAGAATGTGGGTGGTTGCATTTATCACAAACAAACAAATCTACCCTTTTTCGGTGGACAAAAAATGTTGCAATAAATTTTACCTTCTTTAGCTTTAAATGCACCCTTCTTCAAGCAGAACTCCAATTTCGCCCAGCATCAGAGTTTTCTCCCCAGATTTCCAGTTTTTTCAGATCTACAAAGCTCTTTTGTCTGATATATTAAGAGAGCAATTAATGGCCTAACCCTACTCTATTATCATTTCTATTAATTAAAATCAATTATCTACCACATGTAACCGTGCAGCATTAATTGATGCCCTGCTCCTTCTTTGGAAGCGCCGATAGAAGCTGTCTCCGTCTCTGACACAGCCTCTCTATCCCAATCAGGGGTATTTTCGTCCATGGTCGAGCGCGTGCAATTGAGAAATGGTACATTTTGAAAGGCTTTTGCGAAAGTGGTACATTTTGAATGCCATTTGTTTAAATGTGGTACATTTTGAAATATTCCCTTCATAAATACAAAAGAATTATTTGTATCAGTTTATTTCATGGATGGTAGAACACATTGAAATCCTATAATACTATATAGTTTAGATTTGTGTGTAATTTTATAACTTAGAACAAAACTTTTTTTTTTGGGCTTTCAGTATTTTTGAATACTAATATTTTAATAAAATCAAATATAGTGAGTGATGGTATATTGATGTTCAATCTGAAACCGATTAACTATAATCACAACTGAACTGAAACAATCAATATTTGGAATTTTAATATAATGTTAATTATGAAACTGCTTCTACCTGTATCTAAAAATATATCAGAAGAAGTTTTGAAATACCACTTTAATTTTATGAAATCATTTTTTATAATACCACTGTTTTGTCAATTTTTTCAAAGTAACACAAAGTGCAAACATATAAATTTTTGGAAAATTTTTATAGAGAATATTATAAAAGGGAATATTTCAAAATGTACCACATTTAAACAAATGGCATTCAAAATGTACCACTTTCGCAAAAGCCTTTCAAAATGTACCATTTCTCAATTGCACGCGCTCGACCATGGACGAAAATACCCCTGATTGGGATAGAGAGGCTGTGTCAGAGACGGAGACAGCTTCTATCGGCGCTTCCAAAGAAGGAGCAGGGCATCAATTAATGCTGCACGGTTACATGTGGTAGATAATTGATTTTAATTAATAGAAATGATAATAGAGTAGGGTTAGGCCATTAATTGCTCTCTTAATATATCAGACAAAAGAGCTTTGTAGATCTGAAAAAACTGGAAATCTGGGGAGAAAACTCTGATGCTGGGCGAAATTGGAGTTCTGCTTGAAGAAGGGTGCATTTAAAGCTAAAGAAGGTAAAATTTATTGCAACATTTTTTGTCCACCGAAAAAGGGTAGATTTGTTTGTTTGTGATAAATGCAACCACCCACATTCTACATTCTAAGAAGGTGGTATTTATTGGAGGACGACAGGTACGGATGGACGAAGGAGTAATGATATTGGTCGGTTGCTGGGAATGCAAAGAAAGTGGAGAGTGGCGATTCAAGATGTCGGCAAAGAAATATGCAAAGTGTGTAGACGTAAGCGCAGGAGATACGATTGCTGATGTTGAGCAGAAAATTGCCGCAGCGTTTGGAGTAGACAGAAGAAGGACAAAAATGGAGCTGAGTTTTTGGTTCGAAGGAGGAGACACTGTCTACACGCAGCAAAAGATGCCGCCAGTCTCTGTTGACAGCGAGAGTTCATTGTCGAAATTCAAAAAGGTAAGAATAGAAAAGGGAGGTATGAACATGTATCTATGTTTAGAAGAAGACGATGAAGATGTGTCAAATCTCGGGGGACAAGACGATTGTCGGGGACAAGAAATGGCGGGACAGCACAGAGGTGAGAGTGAAAGCACGCAGATAATTCCTGTAACTTTTGAGGAAGAGGACTTTTTAGAGGAAATATATGCGTTTGAAGAATCTTATAAAAGGAAGGAAGCTGTGCTGCAAAAGGGAAAAGCTAAGCGGGGACGAGAAGAGGAACTGGTGGTAGCATTGGGCACGGATAGTGGAGGATGGGCATCCGAGTCGGAAGACAACATGTTAAGTGAGGGAGAAGATTCAGGCGACTATGACTTTGATAATATGAGGGAGTTGATCGATAGGGAGTACCCGCCGGATTGGGATCCTTGGAAGGATTCGAGGAAGAAAGCATTGACAATTGCAGACGGATCGCCGCGGGGACAAAATGGTAGAGTGGAGGACGATATATATTCCGGTATGGAGGACGAGATATACGAGGACGATATGTATGTGGGGGACGAAAGTGTGGATGCACAAGGAGGACAAACCCAGCCAAACCCAGCCAATACTAGTCGATGTCGAGGTTAATCAGATGGACGGAAGGGAAGATACCACAACATTTGATGAATGAAAACTGCGGGGACAAAAGGGGACAACTTCACAAGGATGGGGACAAAGTGCAGAAATGTCACTCGAACTGACAGAATCGTTGGGTCCACCAGAGGGACAAAACCAGCCAATACTAGTCGAAGTTGAGGTAAATCAGATCGATGGAAGAGAAGATGCGACAGCATTTGTTGAAGGTGGAGAGGAAAGTGGAGACATGTCAATTCAACTGGGGCAGACCAGAATGAGGCAAGTGGACGTTACGGTGACACCGTTGGTAAGAAGAGAAGATGCCTCAACTTTTAAGGCTTTTGAGGAAGGAGAAGGACAAGGAAATTTGGAGGTGACAATGGGATGTAGTGTTGGAGAGGAAAGTGCAGAAATGGGGCAGATAAGGTCGCAACTTACAATGGGGGAGACAATGTTTACTGAACTTGTGGGGGACGATATTGTGATGGGTAGAGATGCCGCACCGTTCAGGGACAACGCAGTCGGAGTTGCGCAGGACAAGGCTAACATGAATCTTAGGAAAGCTGGGGATTCAATATATATTGGGCGGATATTCCAGAACAAAGGCGAGTTGCATAAGGCATTAACTGTGTACTCTATAAAAAGGCTATTCAATTTCCGAATAAAAGCTTCCGACAAGACGCGTGTAATTGCAGTATGCCATGATAAAAAATGTAATTGGAGGGTATATGCAACGTTTCACGAGAACTCGGAGAATGTGGAAATTCGAACAGCGAGTCTAAGACATAGTTGTGATGTGAAAGTGCGGTCAAAGTACGGGATGAAAGCAACACGATCGATTCTAGGCGAGTTGCTAAAAGCAAAATATGCGCATGGAAAGAAGGGACCTAGAGCCTGTGAACTACCAGAGATAGTATTGGCTGAACTAAACGTTACCATATCATACATGAAAGCTTGGAACGCGAAAGAGATGGCAATGAAAAAAGCTCGTGGCAGTGAAGAAGAAAGCTATAAGTTCTTGCAGACATATCTCCATCTGTTAAGGACAACTAATCCAGGTACGCTGTCCACAGTCCATACGGATTATACTGAGGAGGGGGAAATCCGTTTCAAATATTTATTTTTTGCGTTTGGGGCTTCAGTTGCTGGGTATAAGTATTTGCGGAAAGTAATAGTGATAGATGGACACAGACTAAAGGAAAATACAAAGCTGTTTAGTTGCTGCAGTGACAGATGGAAATTATCAATATTCCCATTGGCATTCGGAGTCATTGACAGTGAGAACATCGCAGAACAAAGGCGAGTTGCATAAGGCATTAACTGTGTACTCTATAAAAAGGCTATTCAATTTCCGAATAAAAGCTTCCGACAAGACGCGTGTAATTGCAGTATGCCATGATAAAAAATGTAATTGGAGGGTATATGCAACGTTTCACGAGAACTCGGAGAATGTGGAAATTCGAACAGCGAGTCTAAGACATAGTTGTGATGTGAAAGTGCGGTCAAAGTACGGGATGAAAGCAACACGATCGATTCTAGGCGAGTTGCTAAAAGCAAAATATGCGCATGGAAAGAAGGGACCTAGAGCCTGTGAACTACCAGAGATAGTATTGGCTGAACTAAACGTTACCATATCATACATGAAAGCTTGGAACGCGAAAGAGATGGCAATGAAAAAAGCTCGTGGCAGTGAAGAAGAAAGCTATAAGTTCTTGCAGACATATCTCCATCTGTTAAGGACAACTAATCCAGGTACGCTGTCCACAGTCCATACGGATTATACTGAGGAGGGGGAAATCCGTTTCAAATATTTATTTTTTGCGTTTGGGGCTTCAGTTGCTGGGTATAAGTATTTGCGGAAAGTAATAGTGATAGATGGAACACAGACTAAAGGAAAATACAAAAGCTGTTTAGTTGCTGCCAGTGGACAAGATGGAAATTATCAAATATTCCCATTGGCATTCGGAGTCATTGACAGTGAGAACATCGCAGGGTGGACGTGGTTTTTCAAACAACTGTTACAGTTTGTCCCTGATGAAGACGATCTTGTCTTCGTCTCCGACAGACATGCGGCCATATATGCTGGACTAAGGACAGTGTATCCACTTGCAAAGCACGCTTGCTGCACTGTGCATTTATTTAGGAACGTTGTCCACCATTTCAAGTGTGAGGGGCTTGCTAAAATGGTGTCCAATGCGGCTAGATCTTACACTGTGGGAGATTTGCGATATTGGTTTGAAGAAATTCAGAAAAGAGACATCAATTGTGCCAATTATTTGGTAGAGATAGGAATATCTCATTGGACACTTGCGTACTTCCCGGGAATGCGATACAATGTGATGAGCAGCAATATCTCGGAGTCCCTAAATGCTGCAATGCAAAAAGCCATAGATTTCCCGATAGTGACGATGGTAGAATTCATTAGGACTATGTTAATGCGTTGGTTTTACGAGAGAAGAGAAGCTGCAACTAGAACGAGGACAAGATGTACGCCAGAGATCGAGGAAATGCTAATAGATCACCTGAAATTAGCGACAGATTGTGCTGTCATAGCAGCAAGTGAATGGATTTATCAAGTAAACGACGGTTTTGGTATCGTTTTCACTGTGGATCTAGAGAAAAAAACATGTACTTGCAGAGTATTTGATGTGCTAATGGTGCCGTGTTGTCACGCTTTAGCCGCGGTGGGGATAAGGAACGTGGACATTTACTCCCTGATCGGGAACTATGCATTCGTGACGGAGTGGCGTAAGCTCTGGCGTGCCCATATTCTACCTCCGCCTAAGGAAAAAGACACGGAGGTCCCAAACGTAGTTAGTGAAATGGTTGTGAATCCACCAAAAACAAGAAGACCAGGCGGAAGACCAAAGACAGTACGCATACCATCGCGGGGAGAGTATCAGGTAACAAATTAAGAGTCTTAAATGAGTTTTGTCCTTCAACACAAAAAAATTAATTGTGTCCATGTATGTGTTGCAGGGCAAAGGAGGGAAGAAAAAAAAACCTAACAAATGCACCACATGTGGGAAGGATGGCCACAACAGAGCAACTTGCAAAAATCCTATCTAAGTTTTAGGGAATAATATTTCGGCGGCTTTTGGTCCATGAAGTATTGCGGAAAAGAGGGTTTATCGTTACGTAGGTTGGATAGGCCACGGGAAATTTGTTTAGTCCATGGCTTAACATCCAATTTTTTAGTCCATGGCTTAACACGGAAAGTATAACTAATATATATTTATCTTTTGGTAATTGGATGTAGTATGACATGTATGGGTATCTTTTGGCAAGCACATCTCACAACTTATCGAACAAAAACTATATATATTTATCATATACATCTTCGCGGAAGACAAAAATATATGGGAGACCATATAAAGGAAAAACAAACAAATCATAAGACCCACCAATTAACACAGAGAGGACAGGGGTTCCAAACATTACAGTTGGAACATTCTGAATATCGACGAGGGGGATGGATCAAGTAGCACGTATAGCCAGTCCAGTTGAATCTAAGTTGGGTTGGGGCAATCTTCTTAATATCGGATATCACAAGCTTGGCCACACGATCAGCGTTGCGAGAAGAGACAACTTCTTGTTTGAATAGATTCATGGCGATGATCGCATCCTTAGGTCTATTAATAGAGACAAGGTAAGAGACCCTTGGTGAAAAGAATTTTGTCGGATGGATCGGGTATATGAGCGAGCATGTGCATTGCTTCTTTGATTAAACCTTCAACTGCAGCGAGCCTAATGCTCTCTAAGTAACAAGCAGCAGGATTTCCAGCCTTTACACATCGTAAAACAAAGAAGTAAATGGGTGAACCGATGAAAACATTTTGAGGATGCGCTTCAAGGAGAGCCAGAGAAGTCTCCCGCAAAACAGAAGGATCAAGTGCGAGACGCATGCCAGCGTTCCCAGAGAGAATAAGGGGACCTAAGTGTCGGTAACATGACTTACCAACAAGAAGGACAATCGATACTCTAAGATGTTTGGGAAGCTTTTGCCACAAAAACATATCAAGGAATTGGAATTAGGAATGGTTTAGCACAATGAATGTTGTTACTTACCTATATATAGATGGGATTACTAATTAATGGTTGGGGACAATGAATGCTGCTGTTAGAGATTTTGAATTAGTAGTTGGGGACAATGAATGTGGAAAAGTAAATACTAATTAAAGTGACAAGACCTATCTCATTACTAGGTGATTAACTATTCTAAGGGATAACTGTTTAGCAGTTTCGTATTGCATTGGGGGACGTGAATATACAATTTACGGTAGCTTGTCGGCATAGAAATAAGTAGATCTGGGGCGAGATATCTTGATACTTCATATTTTTACAATATATATAAGTTGTAGAATTGAGTCGAAGCTTGGAAGCGTCTCGGGTACAATAATCGCGTGTAAGCAAAAACACGTTGGGAGGACACGAACGTCTCTAAGTGATAGCTTCATATCTTAAATATAGATAACTTGTAGAATTCGGGCTACAATAAAAGAGGGACGAACATTACACGATAGTCCCCAGTAGACAACATGATGAAAAAATGGGGGACATAATAGCCGAGGGATGAAAAAAGAGCTATTAAAGCTACATATAAGTGCCAAGCACGAACGCGGCTACGGGGACAATAATCGCAAGGACGAGAACGATGATTTTAGGACACGAACGAGCGACGTCGACAATGGAACGAGGGGAGCGTTGCAAAAGACATAAATTCTGCTGAAGCAATTTAATGTCTTCCTGGTAAAGGTCCAGACGATCGCACATCAAGGCAAGATCCATGTGCTCCCCGTTAGGGGCGGTAAGTAGGAACTTAAGGTGTTCTTCCTGTTCCCTAATAGAGCACTTAACCGCAGAAATCTCCTCCATAAATGCCTCGTCCAACCATTTAACAAGATGGCGCCCAGGTCGGTCCTGAATACAAACATAGCAAATGTAACTATAGTAGATCGAATTATTGAATTTAGTAAGAGTGGGATTTAAACTTACATCTCTCTTCTCGCACTGATAAAACTGCCTGCCAGGGTTGTCCTCGGAGAGTGAATTCGCAAGTACGACCGTCCCTCCGCAGTAACAGTGACGAGGTATACCAAGAATTTCAAAAGACATTGGCCCGGGATAAACAGGTCCATAAGAACTAAGAGATTCTCGGGATGAATCGTTCGACTGGGTATAACTATGGAGGCCCATGGTTCGTGGGAAACAATTAGATGGTAGAAATTATGGAGTAGGCTGGGGGGAGTTTGAGAGAAAGGGTATAATTGTGTAGATGAAGAGATCATTAATGTGGAGAGATAAATAGAGACTGGTGCCCAAAAATCTTGACAAGAATATAATATAAATTTATTAAGCAAAAAGTTACCTTGCAAAAAGTTACCTTTTCGCTGATGTGATAACACAGAAGGAAAATCATGGGGAAGCGTAAGAGCAACTGGCTTCTACTGTTGTTATTGGGTATCTAAACGTTGACTTGTTTGTAAAAATTGCCTATCCAAAATTGCGACAGGACAACATAATATAGAATATTTTAGGAGACAGGATCTCTGTTTGCGGAAGACAACCTAAATATCCAAGTAGTTCCTAAATAGATAGCAGTTTACAAATATTTAGTTCCTAAGCATCCAAGTAGCATCCAAGAAGAGTAAATAATTATTACAAAAAGACATAAGTTCTTAAGCAGAAATATTGAAAGGGGGATCACAGCCGGAGAGGCTGAACAAACTCCTCGAAGATGTCGACAGCAAATCTCATCCGGATATTCTCCACAAGTTCTTCAGTTATGCTGTCGTGACTAATGTTTTGGAAATGAAGCTCAATGTACTTCATAGCAAGCGGGCCGCTGTCGTCTTCATGTTCGCTTTGAAAGATCTCAGGAAGACGATCAAAGGCGAACTCAGGGGGAACTTGATGATTGCAGAGAACATCTTGGGGGACAAGTGATTTGATGATAAAAGGAAGCAACACAACGAGAGGTTTCATGAGCACGCCCATCTGTTTGTCGGTTTTGGCAGCCACGTTAGGGTCAAGAACACCTATGGTACCCTCTTTCAGATCTATGACAAGCGCAGCCCAGTGGCCCCCAGACAGATGTAAAGGCGCGTAAAGAGTGTCGACATCAGAAAACCAAGCCTGTCTCGTGAATCGGCCAGGGACTATACCCCTGACGTAGTCCCGTATCTTACTGTTCCACGGCCACTCAGATTTACTTTTGGACTTCTTGAAACGAGAATAGAGTTCGCTAAGGGTAATCGAAAACCATGAATCAAGTATGGCAGACCTACTCTGGACCAAAGTATCCCCAAACCTCCGAGCCAACAGGCTTAGCATGGCATCGATGTGCTGGATTGTATAGAGGACAATAATTAATTTAAGGGACATGATATTATAAAATGCAGGTATCATTGGTTTACAACGTACCTCTTGGTGGACAGAATGGTGAGGAGTAAGCATATCCTTAAAAAATGATCTGGGGACAACATGTGCATCGAGGACGAACTCCCTGACCATTAATGGAAAATAGTAATTTAAAGGTTTGGGGAAAAAGAAGTAAGTAATGAATTCAATAAGAAACTGAATTACCTCTGGCGATAAGATTTCAGAGTGGACAAGAAATGTTTCCGAAGATCATCATTTACTAGGACAAACGGGTGCAAAACCTCATCAGTTGATTGGGAAACACTGTTGGTCCCTGTGGATTCTTGTCCCTGGACTGGAATAGGGTCACGGAAACGGTGGGGTTTATTCCTTGCCCTTTTGGGAGGGAGGATCGGCTTAGAAGAATCCCCGCCAAGAGAAGAGGATTTTCTCTTTTTCCCAGAGGGACTTTTTTCTGAAATTGCCACACCACCAGTAGCATTTCCCTATAAAAAAAGGTATTTTAGGGAAAGGGACAAACAGAACCACAATTAAAATGCTGAAAATTTATGAGATACCTCTTGATCGTCAACCAGTTGTTCATCAGCACCTCTTGAGGATTTAAAAAGCTCTGGCGGCCATGCTTTGTTTGCCTAGATGAATGGGCACGACAGGTTAGGGATAAGAAATTAGAATTTGCGTTTTAGTTATTACAGAAATAAGTATTATACCTCGTCCATAGCTTCATCTTGGTGATCCTCGTCTTCAGACCTTCCTTCACTATCACCACTACTCTCGTCACCCTCTTTGGGTTCGTGGTCCCCAGAAACAGACTTATCCTCTAAAACCTCAGTCTCAACATCGTCCCCGGAGACATCAACAGACTTTTCAATTACTTCTTCTCTTCTGTCCTCGCACTCAACAACATCAACGTGCTCAGACACACCAACAGACTTATTCTCTATAGCTTCCCTTCTCTCCTCACCAACAAATCCCACGTCCTCAGACACACCAAAAGAATTTCCACCAGCAACCTGTTATAGGTGATTAGAAGAGAGGATCATATCCATGGAAAGACACAGGTATCCACGTTGAAACAGAGACAAACCTGCTCTGTATCTTGATCGTCCTCTGATTCATCAGCCGAACTGATCTCCTCTACATCTTGATGAGGCGTTTGGAAGTCGTTGGGCTAAAAGTAAAGAGAATTAAAAGTAAAAAAGGATTAGAAAAATAAAAAACTCCACCACATAAGAAAACAAATAATGACTTTAGTTAAACTTACGTTGTGATCTTCAGGAAAATTCTCTTTAACAGACTTTCCAACCAGGACCTGTGTAAAATGGTTTAGGAACCATTCCCAGAAAGAGGTAGACAAAAAAAAAATGTAATATACAAACCTCATCTGCAACTTCTTCGTCCTCGGTTTCCTCTGCGTTGTCCTCACTAATGGTTGGCAATGGAGTTTGGAAGTCTTTTGGCTGAATAATATGTAAGAAACAGAGGTTATTCAACGTCAAAACAATAGAGAAGGACCAGAAGCAACAAGGAAACTTACGTTGTGATCAATAGAGAACTTCGAGGAAGAAGGACCAGAAGGAGATGGATGAATGGTAGAAGGACCAGAAGCAACAAGACCAGGAGAAGGTCCAAACGGACCAGACTTAGCAGGACCAGAGGGAGATGCATAAGACTGGTTGAGGTTTTGTAAAACATCAGACACTCCTCCGTACTCAGACCAGGCTTGCCGCTGAAACTCCTCCAAAAGTTGAGAATTACTTTTCCCCTTAGACGGCGATTGAGGAGAACTTGGGGCGGGAGGGTCTATCTGGACATGGGGGGAATCAGAGGTCTGCCCACTAGGGACCTTGTTGATATTTATATTTTCTGGGGGACCATGCGTTTGTCCCTCAGTAACAGCGTTCGTTAATGGGACATCTGTGTGTCCCCCGGACTCCTTGTTTACATTTGCA